GTGCTCTGATTGGCCAGCTATCCAGTGCGTTGTGATTGGCCGAATACCTCAAGCTTGTGACGGAAATGTTACGCACCTTACCATACTGTGATGCTATGTCCCGGCCGGGAGCGATGAGACAAAAACATTAAAACCCATTATAAACGAGGCATTTGTTGCATCCAGTGGGGACCTTTAGTCTTTGCAACTTTACAGATCTTCTTTATGCACCAAGAGCTTGTATCACCTCAAAGAGAAAGAAAAAATTGAAATCGCATCATATGACCCCTTTAAGTTATTCACTGAAGTCTAGGTAAATTCAAGTAACAAAATATGACCTGTGAGTGTATTATTTAGACCAGTTTTGACAGATGAAACAATAATTCATTTGTGAATTAGATAATGAAATCATGAAAAAGTCTTTCTAAATGTTGATGTTCTTCTGTATTTTTCAGGAATAAGGAGCTTTGGCAGCAGTGGGTGCTGCTTTAATATAAATGCAGCTGTACAGACGGGAAGTGAAGCTACATTGCCTCCGACTCATTTCCTTCACTGTACTGAAAACTGAGAAACAGCATGTCTGTCTCTTTTTAGCGTGTTCCACTGTGAGGCCTTGTGCTTTGGCTTTTGCAAAATCATGACGAAATGGACAGCTAGAACAAAGCCATAATGGACAATCCTGGATTGAAATCCTGTCATTTTCCACCTCAGATGCCATTTTGTTTTGTAAAGCAACTCATCATAGACCATAAAACCCACAATCCATTTGGCAGGAACAAGCCAAGCCAGAAGTTAATTCCTGTTACTGCGGTGGTTCCTTTAAATCTTTCCTCTGGAAAATTCACCCCGAGGTTTAGTCTGCCTTAACCATGATGTTGAGAAGAAAACTGTACTTAGGCGCTCTGCTAGGTGCTATTTTGTTTTTAATGATAGCTGCTCACACCATTCAGAAGGCCAGTGTTGTGCCCATCACAGATTTACCCACTCATCACGATGTCAGGTTACCAATGAAGAACCAGACACCATTACAAACAGTTATCACAGAGCCAAGACGAGGTCATTCCTGTAGCTGTCCTTACTGTATTGCAGACAAGGGTGTGTCGGAGTGGTTTGACCAACGCTATGATCATAAACAGCAACCTTACCTCACCGGCAGGGATAATGACATAGATCCGCTTTCTCTGAAGTGGTGGCTGGTAAGTGGCAGATTGTTGGTTTAATTTCTGCATTTAGTTAGTCTAAGGCTGTCAAACATTTTTAAATTTGAATTAAATTATTTGCATGATATGTTGAATCATTCATCAAATAATTCATAATTTATCTCAATGTTTGCCAATACATGGAGTATCTTTGGCTAATGTGTCCTTTTTAAACAGAAGTAATGACAGATCATTTATTCCATACGGTGATGTACATTCCATTGTAACGTATGGATGAATAATTCACAATAAGTTACATTTAGAAAATAGATTGTTTGCATTTTGAATAACACGCTAGAAGTCTTCAACCCTGCTCCTGGGGACCCACTGTCCTGCAGAGTTTAGCTCCAACCCTAATCAAACACACCTGAAGCACCTAATCATGTTCTTCAGGACTGCTTGAAAAAACACAAGCAGGTGTGCTGAAGCAGGTTGGAAATAAACTTCCCCAGGAGCAGGGTTGAAGACCTCTGCTCTAACTAGGGATGCTCCGATCCGCCTTTTTCGCCTCCGATACCGATTCCGATACCTAGGGTTCGGTATTGGCCGATACCGATCTGATACCAGTGAAGTTTTTTTTACCCCCATTTAAATAAATGTAGAATTTATATATCTCTGTGTGTGGAACTGATAATCATTCTTTCACAATCTACTAGATACAGACTACTTCATTATAAAGAAAAATAAAATAAACAATAAATATGAAAAAATATAGGCCTATGTATATTTATAATCTATGACAAAAATTTATTAAAAAAACTAGGTTAGTGGATAATTCGGCAGCAAAAGTTATTCTAGAAAGATCAGTGCACAATAATTTTAGAAATCCAAACATTTAGTGAAAAAAATATATTTTGTGGGGAACAAATAAAAGTGTTGCACTAAATATGGTAAAATGTTACACATTGCTATTTGTATTATAAAACCCATTAATTAAAAACATTCATATATATATTTAAGTATATACTATAAAATTAAAATACATTTCTTTTGAATGTATAGCATATTTTTTAATAAGGCAACAACATATGATAGATACGATAGGACAAAACAAATACAGTGCAGCAAAAACTGTTTGTATACAGTCTATGAGCACGAAGCGCTTACAATGTGCGCATCCGTTGTGCAGAATGATGACGTCACAGCCTGACGCCGTGTTGCTTCAAGCGCATCATTCTGCACACCGGATG